TTTCCAACCATTCCACAAATGGTCTCTAATTTCCTTGACAAGTAATAAATTGCTTGGTTTATATGCGTCCAACAATGAAGACTTGTAGGATGAATGATTTAATTTTCCAATAGCTCAAAATATTAGGTTCTTCTGAAAGCCTTTTATTTGAGAATAACTGAAAATTTCTCCCTTAAATATTTTTTCCATCATATTGAGAATCCTTGGCTCTAATCTGGAGCCCTTTCTCATGCAGACTGTTTGTAAGATCTCTTAGCATTTTGATTTCTTTTTTAGAGGTGCACTTTAATTTGCCAAGAAGCTGCTGGAAATGTGGTAGACCAAAGAGAAAAGGATACATCAGGTAAAGCCTGGCCAACAAAGCAAAGAGGAAAAAATTGCCATCGTCACTGCTTTGGACACTCTGCTTTCTATCAATCTAAGCTGTTCATTTTAGTTCTTATTTAGCCACACTGTACCATTGGCTCACAATGAGTTTGCCATCAAATAAAACCTAGATTTCACCACCCCCACTCCGACACATGGCTTCATTCTGTAATGGCACATTTCTGCTATCCTTTTAACAAGTAATTTTTTTTTAGCTGAAATGTAATATTTTGTTTTTGTTTTTCTAAATATAGTAATAAAAGTAGCAGCAAAGGCTTATACAGTACTTATTTTACACAGGGCAAGTTTTTAACACTTTTACATACACTAACTTTAAAATTTAATATCCTTAGCTCTCACCCTCAACTTTGTATAATTCTGTTAGAATACTCTCAATAATTTCTGTTAATTGTCTCATAAATTAAAACAAGTTAAGATGATAGTTGGCATTTACTAAGCACTATGTTTCAAGCACTTTGTTGAGCTATTTTGTTTGTTTCTGGGGGGTTCCCCCCACCATGACCTGACTTAATTACCTCCTAAGCTTTATGAGGTAGGTAGTGTTACAGTACTCACTTTTCACGCAGGGAAAATGAGACTTAGAAGATTAAGTAACTTGATCCTGGTCTTACAGGTAGCAAGTATCAGAGCCAGGATTCAAATCCAGATCTTTCTTGCCTCCAAAATAGGACTCTTAACCACATTATGTGTTTATCAATAACCGGGAAGCTTACAGGGATTGACACCTAATTATTTGAGTATTCAAAACTGGGCTGAGACAATTGTCAGTATAGGGACACAGCTTCAATGGAATTATGATTAGTTCTGAACATAATGGCTCTTAACAGTTTCTTTCTTTCTTTCTTTTTCTTTCTTTCTTTCTTTCTTTCTTAAATGAATGGTGCAGTCAGTACCTAAGTATGCAGAGACACTAAACAGGGTACACCGTTAAGTCTGGAAATCAGGCCAGAAAAAAGACACTATCTGAAACGAAAACAATAAATATCAACATGCAGAGCTGTGTGTTTTGTACTTCTAAAGTTGAATATACACATTAATCTAATTAATATTTACTAATTGTTTATATGTTATGGGGTAAGAACCTAATTTAATTGTTTTCTATATGGATAACTAATTATTACAGAAGAACTTAGTAAGTAAAAGAGGCCTTCCTTTTCCCCAATGACCTATAAGGTTTTCTCTGGCATAAATAAATTGAAGCCCCAGCCCCCAATTTAACTATATTTGGAAATAGAGCCTTTAAGGAAAGTAAATAAGGTTAAATGAAGTCATAAGGGTGGGGTCCTAATTTGGTATGACTTCTTATAAGAAGAGAAAAAAAAAAAAAAAAACCCAGCAGAAATCTTTCTCTCCACACATGCACAGCAGAAAGGACACAATGAGAAGGTGGCCATCTACAAGCCAGAAGGAGAAATCTCACCAAAACCAACCTTGACAGCATGTTAATCTGGACTTCTAGCCTCTGGAACTGGGAAAATTAAATTTCTGTTGTTTAAGTTACCCAGGCTGTGATATTTTGTGATGGCAGCCTGAGAAGACTAATACAGATTTAATGGACCAACTCCTTTGAAAAAACACAATCTATAAAAACTTACACAAAGAGAAATAGATAATCTGAACAGGACTGTATCTATTAAATAGATTTAATTAAAAATTAGTAACTGTCAAAGAAAAAAGAACCAGGCCCAAATAGTTGCATTGGGTTTACTAAACATTTTAGTCAGAAATCATACCAATTCCCTACAATCTCCTCCAGAAAACTGAAGTAAAGGGAACACTTTCTAACCCATTCCATGAGGTTAGCATTACTCTCCTACCTAAACCAGATAAAACTTTAAAAGAAAGAAAAACCACATATCAATATCACTCATGAACATACATGTAAAAATCCTGAACAAAAAATTAGCAAATCAAATCCAACAATGTGTAAAAAAAAAATGATTCACCATGACAAAGTAGGATTTACCCTAGGCATGAGAGGCTGGTTCAACTGAAAATCAATTAATGTAATCAATCACATTAAAAGGCTAAAGAAGAAAAATCATGTGATCATATGATCATATGAATAGGTACAGAAAAAGCATTTCATAAAATCCAGCACTTATTTTTAATAAAAACTTTCAGCAAACTTGGAATAGGGTGAGCCTCCTCAACTTGATAAACATCTAGAAAGAAGCCTACAGCCTACATCATACTTAATGGTGAGGAACTAGATGCTTTTCACCTAAAGACTGAGAAAAAGGCAATCATGTTTGCCTTCAACACTCCTATTCAACATTTTACTGACAACTCTCCCTTATGTAATAAGACAAGAAAATAAAATAAAAGATAAACACATTGGGAAGGAAAAAATACTCCTTTTTTTCAGGTGATATAAGTTGACATAGAAGAAAAACTAAGTGACCTCAGATTTGGAAATGATTTTTTTGATATAACACCAAAAGCACAATAAAGGAAGAGAATAATTGATAAGTTGGACTTTATTAAAATTAAAACTTCTGCTCTGTAGAAGACAAGCCACAGACTAGGAGAACTATGAACCCTACTGTCATTATGGACTTTAGTTAGGAATAATATAGCAACAGTGGCTCAGCAATTTTGACAAACGGATCACACTAATGCAAGATCTTAATAGGAGAAACTATGAGTGTGTATATGTGGTGGTGGGGGGTGTAATATATGGGAACTACTTGTATTATCTGCTCAACTTTTCTTTAAACCTAAAATTGTATTACCTAAAAGTAAAACATGAAATGTATTATTTTTTTAAAAAGTTGGCCATATTCTTTTATTATTTCTGAAAATTATCTAGAGTTTATTCTGTGTTTTCTATATAGAAAATGATATAAACTTACTAATGATAGTGTTCTTTCTTTACAAGTCCTTATATCTTTTATTTCCTTACAACTATAAGTAGCTGTGCAATGTTGTAGAACAGACTTAGCGGTAGCAGGTATTTTGTTGTTGTTTCTTAAGGCATTTTTCCAACACTTCACATTTACTACATGGGCTTGGCTTAAGACTGCTTCCTCTTTGATTTTTCTTATCTGCAGAAGTAACTGAAATGAGTTGCATAAAAAAATCTAGGAGCATGCTATCTGGGAGGATTAGCTTAAGAATATAAAACAACACTGAAAAGTGTTCTCAAAGGGCGCCTGGGTGGCTCAGTCATTAAGCGTCTGCCTTCAGCTGAGGTCAAGCTCCCAGGGTCCCGGGATGGAGCCCTGTGTTGGGGCTCCCTGCTCGGCAGGGAGCATGCTTCTCCCTCTCCCACTCCCCCTGCTTGTGTTCCTTCTCTCGCTGTGTCTCTCTCTGTCAAATAAATAAATAAAATCTTTATAAAAAAAAAAAAGGAAAAGTGTTCTCAAAATAACTAAAATAAGTTCAAATGGCACAAACCAGATATACTGGTAGAAAATCTATATACTGAGTTTTAAATTTTATCTTCAAGCATACGTGAAGGGTTATTTATATAAAGAATGAGAATTATAAATGTCTTTTATTCATGTATTCCTGACATCTTACCCTTCCCCTGACGTGCCCTGCCTCTTCCCTTGCCCTTTGGTCTAACACATGCTTCTCTTTCTGTGAGTCTTGGCTGAAAGGTCATTTCTTCAGGAAGCCTTTCCCTGGTTTTCTAGAGTGGGTTGGATGGCCCTGTTTTACATTTCTCTTGCATCTTGTTCCTCCCCTTTCATAACAGTCCATCACATTTATATGATTCTTCAACTTAATCACATAACTGTAAATTCCAAGAGGACAAACAGAATCTCCATGTTTTACATATTTCTATACCCCAGTGCCTAGAACTGTTTTTGTTCAAACTGAGACTCAATACACAGTTGTTCAATGAATTAATGAATAAATAGGAACATCTCCAATAGCAGCAAACGTTCCTCCAGTTTGGAAGACACTGGCATCCCTTTGGCATCCTTCACTGAAGACAAAATAAGAAACAATGATCCATCTGCATTGTTGCCAATAAGATAGAAAGTAAAATGACTTGAGTTGATACTAAAAATAAATAGTAGATCCAAAGACATTTTGTTTAGATGACAATTATTTATAAACTTTATTATTTGATTACTTTTAGATTATGAATCCTAATTAAAGAATGTAATAGGGCACCTGGGTGGCTCATTTGGCTAAGTGTTTGATCTCAGGGTCCTGGGTTCGGGTCCTACATCGGGCTCCCTGCTCAGCAAGGAGCCTGCTTCTCCCTCTGCCCCTGCCCCCTGCATGTGCTCTCTCTCTCTCTCTCACGCTCTCTCTCACACTCTCTCAAGTAAATAAATAAAATCTTAAAAAAAAAATAAAGAATGTAACGTGTTACAATACTCATCTCAGAGTCCCTCAGGATTTGGTATTCTTTCAAGAAGCTTGAAGATACAGTTTACAAATGAGACCAAGTATTTAAGAAATATTTAAAAGGCCTCCAAATAGGCAATTTATTCTCTTCTAAATGGCAGTTCTCAGTTCCCTACATTAACATTATATATATTGTGTAACTATATGTTACCATGTAGTCAATGTGCATAAGATGTCAAACAAAATGTCAAAATAAATAGTGGTGAAAAATGGAGAAAACAGCAATTCATCATCAGTTCTTATACCTGTAAGTGATGTGTTTGTGTTGCCACTTCTGTCCTGTTAATGCATATCGCTTTCGACGAACATTAAATTTGGAGCTACCTCTTGTCTGGTCAGGTACACCACATCGAGGCTTCTTCATCCAGCTGCAAAAAGCAGTATTTTCCAGTTATTTACCAACAACCCTAATCATGAATTTCAAAAGGAAATCAATTGAGAAGGTAATCTATGACAGTGATTATGAAAATGGGAAAACATAAAGAAGAAAGTTGTCAATTTCCTTACAATTTAAATCTAAGTAGAAAGCATATTTTGTCCCTGAATGATCAAGAATCAGTGGTTTCGAACTCAGCTCTTTTAGATTTTTCTTTCTCTAATTCATTTTGAGCTTACTGTAGACTGAGGTCCTCTTATGCTTCTAACTAGAATCTGTTTTTAACAAGATTTGTGACCTAGGGCAAATCACTAATTCCTAGTCTCATTCATAAAAAGAGACTTTTAAAAATAAATTTTCACTAAGGTCTCCTCCAGGTTTAACATTCAACAATTTTTAAAATCTGTTACATGACCTTAAATTTCAGGATTTGAGAGGGTATTTTCTATTCTCTCTTCTAGCTTATATAGAAGTAAATTATTTAAATAACATTTGCCTTTCTCCATTTTTTTCTTCTTTTCACTTTGATCATTACTCCAATTTATAAGTAAGAACCATTTTTTTAAATCAGTAATTAATAACCAAATTCGATGCTTAATTTTTTTTCCTGGATATGAGGTGTTAGCATTGCACAAATAAGGTTTAACATAATTATATTAGGAAAATGACATGCTGTTTTTTGATTAATTTTTAATACTTATACAAATACAGTCATGGAACTTCTTTTCTACAGTCTCATTGGTCAAATGTCCTGTTTTCGATGTAGTCTTGCTTCTTATCTAAGAAGAAAGATTTTCATGATTTTGAGTAGTGCTTCTTTGGTGACTCATAAAATGGCTTTACCATTCATTAGCACATTTAATTTAACAATTACAAAGCTAGTGCAAAATCTTCATGGTGCTATATGCTTCAGAAAGTAGAAATGAGAAAAGAATCAATTTTTGCTGTATTTCATCAGATACTTGAAAATTTCTATACTCTTTAAATGGAAAATAATTGACTATAGAGATGACTATCTAAAGATGTCCATTTTGTGAAAATGAAAGAAATAGTTTACATGTTACATGGATAAATCAGCTAATGAGCTCTTATAAACAATAATAACTTCATACAACAATGAAATCATGACTTTTGCTTTTTAAGAAAGATGACACTTTTACCATAAGTATTGAAAAAAAAAATTCTCCTTTTTTATTCTGCCCGTAGACAGACAATGTAGACACTGAGGTTATCAAACTTAAAAAATTCCATCCTATTTATAATGCATTGTGGAGTTACTTCAAAAAAATTGCTTTCCCTTTATTAAAGTCTCCCAACTCCTAGGAGGCTATATGGTCCTACGGAATTGAATTCTGTAGAGTTGAGAATGGAGATCTCCTATTTTTAAATAATACTTCAAGGGCATTCCTCAACCACTTCATTTGAGAGATATTTCACTAGACTGTAAACACTCAAGGGCAGGGGATCTATATACTAAGATCTATATATCTGTATACTATGTACAAGGTATATAGTCTATATATATATATATATATATATCTTGTATAAACCCTGGAATATAAGAGATATTCAATGATTAAGTGGATAGGGACACTTTGTATTTTTTAAATGAGAAATCATTAATTGTTATTACATACTATAAGATACAGATACAGATTTAACTAGCAAATATTAAGCATTGGAGAGGTTATTATGATTTAAGTGGCTTTTACATATGGGTATTTCATTAATTACATTCTCAGCAGAAACTGTAATATTCCTAAGGCAGGTTTTTATGCTTATTTATTTCACTAAAAGCACTAAGAGAATAAATAATATATAATTATTAAAGATGAATAAATTTACTAAGTGTGGGAAGTGGTTACACTTACATTTTGCTAAGAAAAATATTTAAGTTAGCATTCTGGGAAGAGAAATAATTTGGAAATGGATAGTGGGATGAAATTTGACAAAATGGAATTACCTATTATCAGGATAAAATGTATTGCTAATGAGGACATATTGTCTAAAATTATTTTAATAATCAATAAAATTAAAAGAGGAAGGTAGCAATTGAAAAGGAAATTAAATTTATTAATATAAATTTCCATTTTAAGTCATGCATATGTTGGATCTAGTAAAAATTTTTCCAGTGAAGCACTGCATCTTCCAAAGGATAGGGTTTATATGGATGAGTATTAGATTCTTGTGCTGAAAGATACCTCTACTGAATTCTTTATGTATTTCTTAGGCTTTTGCCCATTAAATATGTGTTTTTTCTTATGTTCCAACTTCTTTGTTTATTTACTCATTAAATCCTTATTCATTCATCTTGTAATATTTTTCAGCTTTTATAACATGTTAAGAGATATAACAAAAAAGTGTGACTAGAAAGATAAACAAGGCAAGAAGCCCTTTTTGAGTTCACAGTCTATAGGCAAGACATGCATGATTAAAAAAAATTACTATATAATGGCTTAAATGCTGTCATACCTCTGTGAAGATACCCTGTCATTATTTCTAATTTACATGTAAAAAATTTTGATTTTCCTACCCAGATTTGTAACAATTCCTCTAATGTTTATTTCAGCCAAAAAAGTCTTAACATCCTTCTAATGCCTAAGTTAGATACCCAGATAATATTCTCCACTGCTCTCTCCTCACATCTAATCAAGCAGGATGCAGTCTTTTTTGCCTCCAAAATTCCTCTTCTCTCTCTCTCACTAATGCCGTCCTTCTCATTCCTAAAGACAAATCTTTCCAGAACACAGATGTGTTCTCTATATATTCTGGGCATGAAAATACTTATATAGAAAGAATCTGACTCAGGCTTACTTAAGGAGGATCCCCTGCCACCCCCCTCTACTTTCTAAGATCCACTCAGGTTCCTACAGAACTAAACCTCTTTCTGCCTTTGTATGCAGTGACCTCTGTCTGGCATAACTTCCTCTTTTTTCACACTGAGAATCCTAAACATCCTTCATTATTCAACTCATAGAGATACAGTTTACCATCCCAACATGGCATGGATTATACTATGTGTTCCAATTTGTATCTCTGTCTTCCACTGGCCTGAGTCAGGGCAGAAAGCCAGGAATAATGGGGTATACCCAGTGAAGTCTTCAATAAGAAAATGAAGCAAATGAATTGAGTCTGCATGTCTCTTTTGTACATGCTGATCCCCCTTACTGTCCATGTTTCTTGAAGACTTTGTAACTCTTCACAGGTGTGTGCCTTGAGCAAATGCTTATTGCATGGACAACCCTGTAGACATTTTTATGTAAAACTAAATCATAAAGCAGATGACTTAAGTGTAAGAAATACACATAAGTACAGGAATAATCTAATATCGATTAGTAATTTAATGCAAAAAACTCTTAATAAGGGTTGGTCGAGTTGAGAACACTCTATGTTAACTTCACCAATATTTGTATCCAAATATTCTGGCATAGATATATTAGCAGGAATTATTTATCAAATTATGCAAAATCCCCAAAATATGATAGGAGCACATCATGCCACTGAATATGTATGACACATGGTATCTGAGCTAAGTTGGCCTTTGGGCCTTTTATGTGACTCGAAACATTTAAATCATTCTTTAATTTCATAAGGAGTCAGGTTCTTTCTACTACAGTTTTTAAAGTTCTTGGTGGATAAAAATAATGATTAGTGTTTAACAGGACTCATCAATGAATTAAATGTCTAATACTAAAGGTAAAGTTGGCATGTTAATATTGTTATTCAGGTAGAGTCTGACCCTGGGATTTATTTCTAGTTATCATACACCAAATATTAGTTGCATTCATATATGAATTTGATAAAACCCATATATACTTGTACACGAGAGTGCAAAACTCTTCATGTACAAGTAGAATTGATTGATTGTCTCACCTCAAGTAACAACTGTATCACCTGAAAGAAAAATGGGTTGAAGAGAATGTGTGTGTGTGCATGTGTGCGGGCTATTTTCAAGCAGTGCTTCTTTTGTGAAAGTTCCATTGCTAAAACATACTTCTTCTGTGTGTCAATACACAGCAGTTCATATACATGTGCTTCATTCCTGACTCGTTTGCTAAGAATTGTAAGTTGACATTCCAAAGCAAACAAAGACGTGGGAACCGGCATTGGCGGTGGGAGGGAGCTACAAGAAAGTCATTTTGTACTTTCAAGGTGTAAATCACGACACCCCCTCTGTTTGCATAAATGCAATACTGATATTCAGTATTGATTTAATTGTTTAGAACCCATGGCATTTTCAGATTAGTTGGGCAGAGCATTCATGGTTTCCTTAAATTAACTGAACTTAGAAAAGAAAAACATCTGAAATCAGTGTTCTTGACAGGAGTGACATTGTAAAAGTTAGGAGCAGGGATCCTAGAGCCAGACTGCTAGGGCTCCAACCCCACCTCCACCAACTCTCCAGCCCTGGGACATTGGTCTGACTATTGTTTCTTTCTATTTCTTGGTTTCCTCATCTACAATGTGGAAGTGAAAATATTATTGAATTAATGTGAGGATTAAATTAGTTAAGTCATGTGAAACACTTAGAACAGTGCCTGGCAAATAGCACCTGCTATGGTTATTAATTTATAATAATTATTATTTTACAAACATCAGGAAGCAGCTGGACTCGTAGTAGAAGCTGCAACAACAGCAACATACTGATATTAACATGTTTCAGATCACCTTGACCTATGTGTTAACATCCCTTGTTATTTAAAACAGGGATAGCCTGTTGTTTTCATAATACAGATAGCACCAGAGACACAATCCTCTGTTTTATGTGAATAAAGCAGCCACAAACTTCTAAACAAATTTGCAGTAATTAGAGCCACTATATATGAAACAGTGTCTGTTGGTTTCAGTAACTTTTTTTTTTAAAGAGTTGGGTATTCAAGTCAAACATATCAGGCCTCTCATTGCATGACTGTAAAGGATGCCTTCAGGTTGAGTCTACACACCTGGTGCCCCAGTAGTGGGGTTGAAGGAAGACAGCATTTCAATAAAATGTGTAACATCGGAATGGTGTCCCCTGGAGTTGGAGTGGTACCACACAGTGGCTCTGGGTACATATGCCTACCTTTACCACAAGAAAAAAAAAAATAACTCACAGATTATATCTATGGATTAGTAATGTAAGAAAATGTTCATCTGCATAATTAACAGGTTTCTATCCTCCAGACTTTTCCATGTTCTAATGGAAGGTAAGAGTAATATCTACTATTTATAGTAGATCATTTTACAAAGTTTTAAAAATGCTAATTTTTATGACTTTAAAAATCCTTAGGTTTTGTTTGTACTCATAGAGCCAAGTGCAAGAGTTATGAAGAAGATTTTCTAAAAGTGAATTAACTCAGGGCTCAAAATGTTGACATTAGGTTGACAGCTCACTCTGGTCCAGAGTTTCTTTTTTCGATCAAATCATGAACTACCTGCATGGACACAGGTTATTCACAAAGCTGAAACTGCAGTTAGTGTACTTGAAAACCTAATCACAGAGAATAGATGTAATAAACCTCCATGATCTGCAATGTGAAGAAAAAGCTCAGTTAGTGTCAGCTCTCATTTAAGCTTTCACCTTTCACCTTCCAGAAGGGGAATGAGGCTGATTTAGCTATCAACCATCCTTCCGTAGTTACCAAAATAAGGATTGATCCATCCTATAATGTTATAGTGTTTCAGTCCCATTGCTATAATTAGAAATAAAGAAAAAGAAATTTAATTACTGATGAACTTATCTTTTATACCTAGATTGAAAGAGAGTCTTTACTTGATAATTAGACAAACGACTGAAAATCATGAAACCTATTGAAAATTAAGCCCCAAAGCTTATTGTTCTTGATATAGCTAAATAAATATTTCAATTCTCAAATTAGGAGAATTCAAATACCACTGTGGTTTCATAATAATTATTTGAAAAAAGCTACACATTCAGTCTTAATTTTAATTAAGATAAATTAAGTAAATTAAGTAGAATACTCAGATCATCCTACATATGTATGAATATATGTATATATTTGCATATTCATGTGTGTATACATGTATATGTGTGTATATGTATACACACATATATGGAAGGAGATAAAAAAGAAAGATCACCTTAAAAATGATATCTCATCAAGCATGCTTCAATGCATGATAATGTGTACACATAAAAGATGAATTAAAATTTTAAAATTCCTACCATTAATACTGTAAAAACACATTAGACTCATTTTCATTATTGCCTTGCTATCTTTTTCCCTCCATGCTAAAATAATCCTTTCTCATGCATAACATAAATTGCTTCACTTACTAAGGAATTCAAGTAAGCTTGCTTATAAAAATTAGCTAAGCAACCCATAATTTTGAAGAACCATTGCAACATATGATAATGAGCTCGTTTTAGGGTAGGGGGATAAGTATTCATTACTGTCTCTCCAACACCAGTGCTAACTGATATGAAAGCAATATAATAAGCCATTTAAGGTAATACCTAAATTTGTTGCTGGAAAGTGGTTAATTTCTTCAACATAATATAGGGATCACCACAACGGCATCATTACTTTTAATTACCCAAGAATTACAGACTAAATGCATCAAATGTCTGTCTGACAAAAGAGGACATAATTATTTAATTTAAAAACCCAACTGATTTGACAAGAGCCTACAATTAGATAAAAGTTTATAGCATATGAAAATGAATCTTAAGACATTATTTTAATACTGAGGAGTAATTTTAGGTCTATAATTGTAGCCCATATTTTATGTGATAAGGTTTAGATAAAAATTCATACTTTATAATTTGACTGTGTAAAATAATAGAGTACAACTTCAGCATGGATTGTTACGACACATTCATTTGAGATTACAAAAGCACAGACAATTGCTTAAGTAGCATGATTATGGGGATTATACTTCCAAAAATAGGACACTATTTGAGCTGAGTACCCTGCACAATACCACCCCAAGACTGGGGATACATCAGTGGAAAAAACCAGACAGGAGGCCAGTGAAGGCACAGGGTTTCTAGTCTGAGTGACAACGTGGATGCCATAGGGAGAGAAGAAGCAGGGCAATCTAGGATGGGCCGATGATGAGGGTTTAACCGGGCTTTGATGGGCTCATCTAAGAATAATAGTGTATGTAAAGATAAAGATGCATTTCCAATTGAAAAAAAAAGAAGAAGAAAGGAAAGAAAAAAGAAAAAAACTGAATTAGAACAAAGTTTGGTTAAAGAAAACAGATCAAAACACTGGTTGGTTTTAAATTAAAGGTTGCCTATACAGTTGATCTTTTCTCTACAATGCTATAATTCACAGAAATGCCACTTTAACTCCTACACACTGACACCATCATTTCTCCTGGTCCGGAATCTGAGCCACTGTGTGGCAGAAAAGGACACGGGGTCTTTTTCTGCACCTCTGCATTTGACATTGTCCTGCCAGAGAACAACTAAAAACTGTTCAGACCCTTTCCACATAAGTGGCCTAAATAAATCCTGCACACATTCCTCTTCCATCATCTTCTGACAAAGACCTTTTTCCAGCTATCTTAGGAAATCAAACCTATCCATCTTGAGTCCTTCCAATGACCAGCAGGAGCTCTCAAAATGGAGAGGAAACACAGATGCCACCTTCTATAGAACTCTGCTTTCTGAATTTAGTATCTGGTAATAAGCAGATTCAAAGGAATTTGTTTTCCAAGCTCTCAATTTATTGTATTTTTAAAAACTGTGTCATATGGTCCAAGAAAGTCAATCAGAAGATAACAGCTCTGCATTAGGGAGCATAAAAGCTGTTCAGAGCACTTTGTAAAATGTTGGGATTGAAAGTATGATTTAAATGGAATTCTGTACTATACACAACAACAAAATATAGGACTTGTTGGGTTTGCTTATTAACTTAATAAGCTATCTTTAAAATTAATTTATAATTGTAATTAAAATTAATTTAAAGCTGTATTTATTTAGGACACTATTAACAGAGAACTGCAATGAATAGAGGGCAGCAGAGTCAAAATATCCAAGTCCTATTCCCAATATTAATAACAAGTTTCTCATTCTTGCAAAATGCATTATATTAATTCTTGGTTCTATTTTCCAAAATGGTATACCAAAGTTAATATTTACGTATTTCTTAAAAATGCTAGGAGAGGTAATTATATTTATTTTTTAAAACTGCTTTGACGTTTAATCTTCAAGCCTTTTGTTATGTACTCATACTGTCTTGACGAAATAGGAACATACAACTAATGCCATGCTGTAAGTATTAGAAGGCAAAATATAATTTTTAAATTATATAGTAAGTTAGTTTAATATGTAAAAATTATATATACCTGAGTCAAGTAATTTCAGGTATTTAAGGTTTAAAAAGAAAAATAATTGTGTCATTTCTTGAGGTTCACAAGATGGTATAGTAGAAAATTCTCTGACTAAACATCAAAAGGTCTGGATTCTGCAACTACTCTGGACTTCACTTAGCCTTCGACTTTTAGTTTCTTTATTTGAAAGTGTAGAGAGAAAAATATATCCTTGTCTTCCCTACTGTGGAGAGTTGATGTATGATGGTCATATTAAATGATGAAGTAGATTTACTTTGTGAGTATCAAGGACTCAATAAACACAGATGATTCTTCCATGCACCGACAGAATTAATCACTTCCTCCTTTGCTGTCCAAAAACAATAATGCTGTTTCATAATGTTACAGAATTTACAGTGTACCTGTGGTAAAATAACTTGTGATTATGTCTAGCTACACAGTTAACTTGAAGTTCCTCTGAAGAAGAGACTCTGTCTTCTGATCTGTTATATGCCTCTTTCACAGATGCAATGCCCAGTAATGAGTTACTGGTTGACTAAATAAATGAACAAATGATTGATGAATCGATCCATAAAATCACAAATATTATTAAAGAGTCAAAACAAGCCATTTGCTAATGAAAAATTGAAAAGAGAGACTTGCAGGAACCTCTCCTTGATTTAACTCATGTAGAAAATTACCACAAATAGGTGGCTAATAAACTGTTAACTGACTCTCTAATACCCTTCCACCCCAAAAAGAGCCCTGATTTGTATTGTTTCCCATTTTCCTTAGTGTCAATATTTCTACTCTGGCCAATTTGAAGCTACTGATATCATGTCACTTAACAGGGAAGAGATGTGCCCAACATGTCCACACCAGCAGAACAAGCCAGCTCCAATACATCGCTGACATAGCTCTTCCTAAAATAGCTTCAACCATACATTTACTCTGACTCTCATTGTTCTTTCTCCTGCCCGTTTTGAAAAAGTGCCGCTAAAATCAAGTGAGTAAATTTGCCTTGACAAACCGGACATCCTAGCGGAGTAGGGTTGAAACAGGTTAAATTCCAAAGAAAAGGGACAGGAGACAAATTGCTCCACTTGTGGTTGGCGGAGTTCGCTTAAACTTTTTCAGACTATTAAGTTTGGCTCAAAGACCACAAGAGGAAAGAGAGCAGATGCCATTACTTACTCAATTGTGTTTCTGTCCACTTTTCCTGTCATGTTAATGCCGTAGAACTGCTGCATGGCAGCTAAGGCGGCCTGCATGGTCTCCGCGGAGCGCAGCACCGACATTCTGGGGTCAGTTGGTGGAAGGTAGCCGTACTTTTGTAACCAAACCTGCAATAAGGACAGTTCCTTTTAGATCAACCTCAAAATTGAACAATAACTTTACAGTAACTAAGTTATGTCCATAGTGGATCTTTAAACTTTATTTCCTCTACAAGGGCCTATATTATTTAAGTGTTTTATCTCTTTTTAACATATATTCTGTAGTTTAATATAATTTTGGTGATCGTTGTGGATCTTTCTAGCACACCTACAAACACTAACTGAAAAGAAAAAGGTTAGTCATTGGTTCCAAGCTTATTGTTTGTAAGGAACTATGCTCAATACTGGCTAACAAATAAGATATGACCCCTGCCCTTTAGGAACTCAACTTCCCAAAATAAGGGATGATACCGTTTCAACAATAACCCCAATGAGACATCTATGCGGGAAGGGGTAGTTAACGTGCATATACCACATCTAAAATGTCACTTTCCTGAACAACTAACCAAGGGCTGTAGCCATCATGAGTAGCATCAACAATATAGACCATATTATTCTGTCATGACATTTTGAGTATAAATTTCATGGATTAATCTATTCAATTGTGGTTAGATGTCTTCAAGGGTAGGTGAGTGTTTCTCATGTAAAGAATAGTCTTTCATTTATTTAAGGTGACGTACTTCAATCCAAATAATGTAAGTGACCAAAATTCTCATATATAGATGAAATCAGACTATCTTGTTAAGTATGTTTGGGTCTCTCTTTAAGGATCTCATGATTTTTATTCTCCTCTTCCCCAGAGAAGGGAGATCCTGTGTGGATAGTGAGAGAAAGATGTCAGAGTTGAGCTCACATCCCAATCGTGATTATAGCAACAATTCAGTCATTTAAGGTCAGATTTTTAAAGTAACCTAAAACTCAGGGTATTTGGGGAAAAAAAAATTTCACCAGAAAGCAGATGCTTTCCAGTTCTACAATTCTATGCATTCATTTTAAATGCACAGTCATATGTTCAGCTCATATCCCTTCCTTCTGTCCCTTACCTCAATCTTCCATGGGACACTAAGATTTCTTGAAGTGCAGTGAACTGCCTGTCAGATTGAGAAAGGCCAAGTAATTCTGCCTGTCACACAGAATAGAAGCTGTGCTATTTAGTGGAAGGTATTCACCAGTATGTCTTTCCCTCGCCACCTGGGTCTATTCATCATACAAATGATGATCCTATGAAGCTACAGCTTTTCCCCAATACCTGATATACTTTCGCTATGACCTGACCACTAAAAAAGAGGAGAGCTATTTTCTCAGTGAAAACAAACAGTAATGACATAAATTAAATTTCACCAAAAGAGACTGATATTAAATATACCAAAGTCTTGATGTGTGAAAAAACAAGGTGGATTCATTTGTAGTACTTCCAAGAAAATGATGCCCCCAAAAGTTTAGAACTCTAAGCACAATCCTTTGAAAATAAAATAAAACATTTATTCTAAAACTGTTTAAGAGATCAACAATACCTCACTGTCAGGAAGGTTTACTTTTGAAACTCCATCTAGTAAATTCATCTACCACTTGGCGAAAACATGCCAAGACACTCCTCTCATCTAATCTGTAATGAATAGGCTTCCAGGGAAGACACATATATTCAGAGTTACCTAGTCAACAGTGCTGCAGTCTGAAATAGATTCCATTTGTTTTCTGAATGAAGGAGACAAGATTTCACTGGCAATGTATTATTTACTAGAAAATTCAATACCTACATTGTAATGCAATTTCCCCCAAATTAGAAGATTTCATCTTGATATTTAACAGTATACATGCACTAATATTCTGAAATTGAACTCTTTTCCCCATAACACTTTGTTTGCATTTATTTCTTACTTGTTAGAGAGCTGACTTGTTGCTAGGTTACTCATGGGTGCTAAGCTACTGGCAACCACATCGTTTATGGTGACAGCAAAGAGAAAACTATACAAATAGAAAGACTATAAAATATATAAATTTTAAATGGATAATGAAAAAAATAGCATGTTATAAAAATACATATTGATTTATGCGTTACCCTTTCAAACAAATGAGTTGGAATAATAAAAAAATAAATTGTAATTTAAAGGAGAAAAAAATAAATAAATTGTGATTTTTCTTCAAGGTCTCTTTTATATTATGCCATTTATCATGAAAGTCAATTTTTTCTAAATGATTGAGAAGTGAATAATTCTTTTTAATTGAAAAACATCAGAAAATCTCAGGGACCTACCATTTTATGGTCAAAGTTTGTTTTTTGTTGATAACTGTCATTGAGATTATGGGTCACCTTGAGTTTACCATTCTTAGTATCATTGTTATTTGTTAATTAAGAAATCTTTGATATCATCAAGAATTGACCAAAAGTAATTCTCAGTGGAAACTTGCAATGCATCTTTCCACAAAACAGTGGAAAATCAAGCATATCAGTGTCATGTTAAGAGTATGAAACCAGCAAGCCATCAATAACATTTCTTATTAAAACTGCTGTGGACAATCATACTCTACATGAATATAAAAAACAAAACCTAAAGTATTAATTTGATCCACAGTGTATCTTTACATCCAATACTCAAAAACTGCAGGGATAAATAAATACTTGCTTAAATAATCTTAAACACTGAGAGTATAGTCTCTTGAGTTTGTTTTTGTCTTACACTAACTACTTAGTTTAAGCTGTTGACACCCACAGAATTCTGAGAGTCTGATCATTTTTGGTATGATAGAGAAAAGAAATCTGTACCAAATAGCCCTACGTAAGATGCTAACGCTCCTTAGAGGAGACTAAGTTGATCACCATGGTGATGTAAAACTGACCAAATACAAGGTGGACAGGACACTCAGCATCAACGGTAGAAAACCACTATGGCCAAAATCCAGAGAGCTTTGTAAACACTGACTCTTAAGTCACCATTGAATGACGATCAGGTATAAAAAGTGTCTATCAGATTCAAACACTGGTCCATAATCATCATAGAGGTATAGGAAACTCTGTTATAAGTCACCTTATTCTATGTATATAGAACAAAAACCCTTGTGTTATATAAATAGAGCATGGTGGGTAGCCTTAGCACCTTATCAATCTAGAGTAACGAAAGGAAATTTTAAAAATTCAAATATGAGGGCGCCTGGGTGGCTCAGTCAGTTAAGCGTCTGCCTTCAGCTCGGGTCATGGTCCCGGGGGTCATCGTCCCGGAGTCCCGGGATCGAGTCCCAATTGGGGCTCCCTGCTCAGCGGGGAGTCTGCTTCTCCCTCTCCCTCTGCTGCTGCACTCTCTCTCTCTGTCAAATAAATAAATAAAATCTTAAAAAAATTGAAATATGACAGAAGTGACATAGAAAACATTTCTCTTTTCTACTAAATTACAACCTTTAATATCTTATTTGATAGAAAATTAAATATACAAAGTAATATTTGAAGGTACACCTTATCCCCTTAAAGACTATACCACAGACTTCATCCTCATACATTGTTATTTGAAATATATCCCTGTTTTAAACATTGTTTTTAATGTTTAATGTTTAAATTTCCTGGATGACAGGAAATAAGTTTGCCTTCTGAGATTGCTTGTCTCTTAATATTTTTTTCAGTGCTCTCAAAGGCATATAATGGGTAGTTAAGGAATAATTTCCTCATGTATGCATTTGGGGAAAATGTTGAATTTGCAGGTTTGATGTGAGGACTGAGAACACATAAAGCCACCAGCACATTTTTTGCTCAATCATATTATTATTTTATGCTTACTAATTGCTCAGAGTTCTTGAACTTGTTCCTGATGTCCTTGGAATGGGGCAAGACTGAAATGCAGGTAAGATGTAAAGAATCAGAGTTGTGAGGAAAGACAACTTATTTTTATTTTGTTTTCTTTGTTTTGCCTTCTTTTGCTTACTGGATAGACACACGCATTTGAGAGCACTGGAAAACTATCAAGAAACAAGTTTCTTTGGAGGCAAAACTTGATTCCTTTTACTGTCTGGGAATTCGCCCGTGTCATTATCATGAGGACAAGCAACCACAGAACCTCAAATGCAGCAACAAAGTCTAACCTTGAATTACCTTCCCTGTGTTACTAACATAGTCAAATTATCTTGCTATCTTGGAGACGAAACCAATTTCCTGCCCTTAGTGATTATTCAAATGGAGGAACAACCGGAAGAGTGCTGGTCTCTGCAGAGTAAGAGGACTTACCAAGCAATAAAAGGTAGACATTTAAATATTAAATTCTGTGCCAATAGATATTGCCTTTACCAGACTGTAGTATAAATAAGAGTAGCATGCATGCAAAGTTTTAGTCAGTTAAGCGTCTGCCTATTCTTAATAAAGAATATCTTTGTCACTAATATTTCATGTAACCATATTGGAAAAACCTGTATTAATTGACTCAGCTACCCACACCCATATATCAGTGTGGTATCCTGAAAGATGGTTATCAACAACAAAAGGGAGACATTAGCAGTTCTCATGACTAATAACAAATATAAACAGAGGATTTTTAGAATATATATTTTTATTTAGTCTCTCAGGCCAGTACTAAAATCTAGAGAAGTAAATTTTCCTCCAGTTGTTAAAGCTAGTAAGTTTATCAATGCCTTAATATAACATTAAGATACTCCTATTCATTTACTCAGGTGAATCACAAATGCAAGAACCAGATTAAAATTCCATCACTGGCAGGACCCAACATACGGAGAGAACATCTTGAAAGGATGCTTAGATATTTTTCCAAGAAGAATTTAAATAATTAAACTAATGAATTTATTAAGGCAGGTAGGGATATATTTTAGAATATATGTCAGATATCATGTCTATTTGTGACTGAGCAAGTGATTTCAGGTAAAGCTCATTGCAACTCATGTGTGGTATGGTCAAATGCAAAGTCCATGGGCCCCGTGATCATATGATCCAAATTACAGCACTCAATATAGAAGGAAAAGGGCAAAGGTAATAGTTTTATTTATAGTATTTACTTTATAGTATTTTAGTAACAATCACTTCAATTTACACAATTATTTAATTTTTTTATTATTTTGGGATGTCATTTTTAAAA